CCCCAAAACCCCAAAACCCCAAAACCCCAAAACCCCTAAGGTTTATCATATTTTTGAGAATATTTAAGTTTTAGAAGCATTTTCTATGGACTATATTTTCTGGGTCCTCATCGAATTCTGCCTTATCGATCCACATGCTGTCGAATGATTTTATTTTGGAGAGAATGGCAGCTCCAAGCCAGCAGGAGAATTTCCTATCTGCTGGTGCTTGCACTTCGGGTGTATTTGGAGCTGGTGCTAAGGCTTGGATTTCCTTCTTCATTCTTTCTTTCATTCCTTCGAACATTGTACTTCCTCCTGCCAGAACTATTCCTGAGAAGAGATCTCTTTTAATATCAGCATCACATTTCATAATAGAGTCGAAACTAGATTTATGAATACCATCAAAGGTCTTTCCGTTTTTAGAGGGTTGGAATAAAAGCTCTGGAATCTCAATCCTCTGTTTGTCTAGTTCAATTTCTCCTTTTGGCAATTTGTACACAACCTTGGCAGAGTGCTGGTCTGATGCATTCTTGAGTTCAGCATCAAAGTCTTGGGCAACATATCACTGGGTTTCCTTAATTCTATTGACAACATCCAAGTTATTACTACTTTCTGTGTACTCAAAATTGCTCAGCCTGAGAAGTTCCTCTTTGAGATAGAGAGTCAGTTCTTTTCCCGCGATGTTAAATTCTTTAATTGCTTGAGGAAGTGCAAACCCTTCATAAATAGGCACAGTATGACTGATGTCATATCCTCAGTCAACCACTGTTCCAGTAGTCATTCCTGATGCGAAAAGAGAAAGGACTGCTTGTGTCTGTAAGAAGAACTTATTAACATTAAACTCCTCAAACATCATCTTTGTCAGGTCTGATCTATTTTTCTTGTCATTCTTCGGTGGTTCAGTCATGAATATTTTATGATCTTCTGGAGAGAACTTGAGTTCATCATTCATTAGGTACTCCCAGACATTTTTCATTTTATCAAGGTCAACAATTCTTCCCTGTTCTATGGGCCAATAGCTATTTAAATATTTTGCTTTCTCGATTGCTTCATTTCCGACATAGAAATCTTTTTGGTCCATTCCGACTAGAATTCCTGGAGATTTGGGGACTCCAATGACAGTAGGGAAGATACTCTTGGGTGCATCATAATCAGCAAACCCTGCCTTTATCTTCCCACTTCCGTTGTCAATGATGACTGGTTCAAAGTCTTCCTCCATTTGTCCTCGCTTATAAAAATTATTTCAAATTTAATTTTGAGGATAGGGGTTTTGGGGTTTTGGGGTTTTGGGGTTTTGGGGTTTTGGGGTTTTGGGG